AAAAGAAATTCATAATCTCTTCAAGAATTTCTTTAAACACAGAGAGATAAGAGAAAGGCCCTTCCGTATCTTTTATTGAGATCGACTACCAGTCCCTATTTATTATTTTGAAACAATGAACAAAGCCTTGTTCCCAAAATTTATGCTTTCTCATTTATCTTCAATCTTTTGTATTGGTACCTATGCATGAATTTTGACAGCTTGCAAGAACTATATGATATGAAATACCTACATTTTCTGGACTTAAAAAATTTATTAACTTTAATCTTGAGGAAGAGAGGGCAATTATTTACATTTTAAGAGAAACAGCCTCCAGGGAGCAGAACCTAGAAGAGCCAATAGTGCCTGACCAAAGCTCAAGATTTCTTTAGCCTATCCAATTAGGTCAGTTGGAAGGTGATTAATGTATGATCTACCTTTAACAAGCATTATGTTTCCCTTCATTTGGTTCCACAGATGAATAGCTTAATAATTGTGCTACCATTTGATGGAAATATTGATGGGGTTGAATCTCTATATTTTAGCAGATTTAGTAGGATTTTCATGGGTTACAAATATTGCCAGCTAGTTTTGATATGATCTTGGTTGGCAGGGGCAGACCAAGGCAAAACGACTAGCTTCCTTTACATCATCACTCGCACATTTCAACTGTAAGCAATTTTGACTCATCCCACATCTTTAGATTGGTAGAAATTGGTTTGAAGTGTGAGGCTGCCATCTGAGTTCAAAGCCTGTTTTATCTGTGCTAGTGCATCCTGCATACAGAACAGCCACTATAGATTGTCTACTGGAAGGGCTGAATAAAGCAGTTGCAATTGTAGGAAAAGTTCTATTCTTTGTTAAGCACAAGAATGTAGCACCATTGTAAGTCCACTTTCTCTCAGCTCACAGGTCCCACTCCCACTCTCATTAGCCTTTGCACTATTTACTGTGGTAAATTACTCTAAACTTGTGTATTATTGATCCAAGAAATTGTAAATTTCATGGTTTGCCTCTGCATCTCTCTCCCGTCCTGCCCTTTGTTCTTGCCTGAACTTTTATTATTGCAGTTATTATCTGCTGTGTGATTCAAGTCAAATATGCTATGTCCTATCAGTTTATCGGATACAAAATGATGCAGTAAGTTAGCTTCTTGACAATCTGTCAAAGCCTCTTCAAACTTTTCTTAATTTTTAAAATTAGTGTTATAGTTGTCAGTACCTGCAGCAGTGTATCTAACTATTTATCCAATTGATACAGATTAAAGAAGGAGATCAAGTTACACTGTTGGAACCTTTTTACAAGTCTGTTGACTTTTCCTGGGAAGGAAAGGTACATGCTGTTACAGAGTCGGATTTGCATATAGCATTTAAATTTTATTTTACGTCGTGCACTATTAGGTAATGGGTAATGTTTATTCTTTACGCGTTCATAAAATTCTCCTTTTGTATTTGGGTTCAGTGCTATAAGTTCAAATCAGTACGTGTTGATTTCTTAGAACAAGTGCTCGTGAATGGGAAAACTTTGTCAAACCAGCACGCTGTTCAAACATCAATCTATGCACAAAATAAGCCATGAGAAGCTCTTCAATTCTTGTTCAAAATAGAGGCATGGGTGGAAAAACATGTAAAGGAAAGCAAATTCCCATAATTGGAAAGGGTTATTGTATTATGTAACTATTTGAGTATGTGGTGAAATATGTGGATATAAATATTTTTCATCCCTTCCGATGGCTCAACTTGTGATGGAAGGGTTATTGTATTCTGTTATACTCAAAACAATTGACTGTCAGGGATTGGAGTTACGGTTTCTTGTATTATTCATACTAAGTTTGTATGAACCTTTTGTATTTCAATAACAGATAGATAAATAAATATCGTTTTGCAATAATTGTAATTCAGATTGCATATGCATGGGTCGAGTGCTCGCTCGTTGTAAATTGAAAATAATTTGTGAAGAGATTTTTCTGTAGACGAGTTGTGTATTATGATGGAAACCAAAGGGATTGCAACGGGACAAGTAGGGGTAGGGGCAGTCATTCTTGTCCCGTGGTCCATCGGGTATTTGTCTTCTTGCCCTGCTTTCATACCCGTTTAAAACAGGTTTCGAGCATGACAGGGCAGGTCCTTCGCCTGGTTTTCTGTCCCATTTGTTTTTTTTTTTTTTTGGTTGGTGAAAATTTTTACTTTTTATTTCGAATTGTAGAAAAATCCATGTCGACTCTGGAAATGATGATGCTTCCATTCATAAAAACCTTGTATTTTGAAATGAACTTTAAAAGGGGTGGGATCATGTTTTTCGTACTCATTAAACATCATGCTTTGAAGTGGAAGGTTTGGTGACCAACTTGCCTTGTGAACAAGATCGACAATCTCATTAAATAAAAGAATCTTCTAGTTCTTTAAGGAATGTCCATTGGATTTATTAATTATTGAGTGCATATTGATCATGCCAAATTATAAAATTTTTTGGATCAACGAACTTATTTTAATGTCTGGATTTATATGTATAACTAGGTGCAAGCAACGTGTAATGCACGTTTGCGTAATTTATATTTAATAGTTTTGTTTAAAAATTAATTTGTTATTAATAAAGATGTAATTTTTTTGGTTAATTAAATAATTAATGATGTAATGTTTATGTAATTGATAAATAATTAGATGTGTGATTTTGATGTTGTGATGTAAGTTGGTGAAATCGAAGAAAATAAGCAAAAGTTGACAAATTTTGAGAAATGGCTAAATTGTAAGGAATCCAAAGTTCGGGGACTAAAATGTAAATACTTAAAAGTTGTGCCGAACCTCACGATGAAGATTTGAGAGTGCTCGGAGTCAATTGGATAAAGGAAGACGTCAATGGAATCAAATTTAGGCAAAAGATGATCACAAATCAATTTCCAACCGAAAAGTTATGCTCCGATGTTTTAGTCTCATATTGAGACCTATTTTTGGCATAGAAATTGATCGAATTGGAGAATGATGTCTGAATCAAAGTTGTAGCCAGATAAGTTAGCTTTCTAACGCATTTTGAATCGTCTCAATCGGACATCGGAATACAAAGTTATGATAAAAATACTGAAAGAAAGTGCAGCTGCTTGTTTAAAACAAGAAATTCCGTTACATAGTCCGTTAATACAACAAATTCCATTAGTTTTTCTGTTAAAAACAAGAAATTCCGTTACATAGCCACTTTTAATATATAGAAGATAATACAGTTGAATTAATTTTCAATAAGTAGATGGCTTATGAAGATTTGATAACAGCAAGTTGCAACTTGTGGCAAAGACTGTTCATGGTCAGAACATGAACTTTCTATATATAATATAAGATTTGACTTTGAATTGATTTTATCATTTGATTTAGACACCGAATTCTAGAGCGTTCCAAAAACAAGAAAAAAAAAAAAAACTCTTCAATATAATATTAATATCGGATAAATCTCAATAATGGCAAATTTGTACTGAGTGTCATATTGGCCAACCCATTGAAATTACTTTGTTTGTTGAACTTAATAAAATATTTTAGTTAGATGACTACATGACTTATAACATAAATCCTATGTGTCCATGTGCCAGTCATCAAACGTGAGAGTTTCTGTTAGAAAAATAGATCCCGAACTAACATTTTGTAAAGTTTAATGATGAATTTGAAATGAGCGACCAATGTGGCACTACGTCAGATTTCCAAGTGTTTGTTTGTTTGACCTAATTTTTATATACTTTTTTTTCCAGAAATGGTAAACTTGGTCAAGTCGGGAGGCTATATTTAGCATCAATTAATCAAGATGATATTTAAAATTTATAAACTAGTTCCTTTAGACGATAAAAAAAAAAAAATTTATTTAAAATAGATTAACTATCTCATCCCCACATATGCCTTAGGTGATCTCCTAAACAATATACTATCGGAGCTGATACGATCTCTATGATGAAGACATTGGTTCTTCCTTCGATCAAGTACTACTTTATTACAAACATGTTATATTATAATTTAAAACACCCTTTCTTCTTTCGTAGTAAAATTTCAATGTACATGAAGAGTAGTGCTGTGTAGAAAATTTGTGCGTATAAAAGGATATCAGAGATATATAACTAATTCATGGAAATTAAATTAAAATAACATTCAACTCTTCCATTATTTCAATAAAAAATGTTATCCTTCTCCATCAACTTATATAATTAATTAAGAGCAATAATATCTACAATAATGTAGCGTGATCTCACAACCTATAACTGTGTTTCAACTATCTCATATGAATTATGATATAACCTTCCATTTCTTTCACAACAATTATTTTGTTATTTATATATCTTTTGAACTCGTTACCACTTTACCTTTGCATTGTACATATCGTACCAAGATTGTTTCCTTTGAACAATGCTTCATTAGCACATTGTATATTTATGTTCAGTTAAAACGTTATGCGACTTTCGATTGATGTGTGTGACGTTGTTCAAGTGGGGTAACAACTAAAATTTTTCTCTAATCATAACAAAAATCATGTTCAAGTAATAGTATTATTAATATTTTCGAACATTTTTTTTTGACAGTTTAAAAACTTGTGTACACTGTTATCACTCTTTATGTAGTCTTAACATCAATTTGCTCTTTACCTTTCCTATTCTACTTCTTACTACTCCCATTAGTGTAGAATGAGTTGAGATCTGTTGTCTGCATTTGCTTTAAATGACATCATGTTTGGAATTGCGTTTTTTCATTTGGTAACAAGAATTAATGTGTAAAAAATTTAGTTGGGCCCTTACAAGGTAGCGCTTGGCAGCCGAGTATAAAGTCTTAACCCAGCATAAGTAATACGCAAGTTGGAAGAGCTTGAACAAATTGAGCAGTCGTAAGCTAGTTGCAATTAATAAATGAATTGCCATAAGAAATCAATAATGCAAACAGGCTGCGGCGGCTGTGAGAATGTTGACCTTGTTTGTATTCTAATCTCATCTGAGTATAAATACAGATGCTTACAATCTTCCCAATGTAGGAATTGCAAAGTATCTAGAGAGAGGGGTCATGTCTCAATCATATGCTATGCTCAATTGCTATGGATCTTGCTCGGTGTCCGTAGGACGACCTCAGTGGATGTCAACTCGAATGACGTTGAGCTCCGCACAGGAATCTATGCAAGTAGCCAATAACAACGAGGAGCTTCGCCTCCGGGCTACATTCACTGTGCTGCATAAGCCTGTGGAAGGGCTCTATGCCATGAATGGGGGAGATGGACCTCATAGCTATGCCCAAAACTCATCCTATCAGGTACCTACCTACCTATTTGTACCTTCTTGATTTTAAGGTTCATGCGTTATAAATTTTGCAGAATAATCAGGTTTTTGCATTCTTGCACAGAGAGGAGTAGTAGATGTAGCAAAACCAATCATCCAAGAAGAGATTACCACGAAACTTGACATCGAACAATTGTCTTCGACTAGCCAATACCACTTTAGCATTGCGGATTTCGGCTGCTCCACAGGACACAATTCATTTCCTGCCATTCATATCATTATCGAAGCCATTGAGAAAAAAATTGAAAGAGAGAGACGGAAGTTTGAGATCCCCGATTATCAAGTGTTTTTCAATGATCAAGTGATGAATGATTTTAACACCCTTTTTGCTTCACTTCCACCCGAGAGACAGTACTCTGCAGCTGGAGTGCCCGGTCCCTTTCACGATCGCCTATTACCCAAGGCTTCCCTTCATTTTGCTTATTCATCATGTGCACTAAACTGGCTGTCGGAGGTGCCCAAAGCAGTACAAGATAGCACATCTTGTGCATGGAACGAAGGAAAAGTACATTATATGGGTGCTAAAAAGGAAGTTTTCGATGCCTATTCCAATCAATATGAAAAGGACATTACATCTTTCTTGAATGCAAGGGCAATCGAGGTGGTGAGTGGAGGGCTAATGGCCCTTCTTGTTCCTGCTGTCCCAACTTTCGACCACTCTGAGACTACATACACTACCCCGACAGAGATGGCTCTCTTGGGATCTTGCCTCATGGACATGGCTAACGAGGTAAGGATATTTTATTCATTTCTTTAAAGAAGCAAACTAGTTTAAGAGAACGGAATTTAATATGAATTCGGGATCATGGAATCCTTAATTACAGATGAGATGTGCAACATATAAAGTAAATTCTATCCTCCCATTGAATGCCAGTTTAATAGTTTAATCGAAGTTATTTTTATTGCAGGGAACACTTAGCAAAGCGAAAGTAGATTCGTTCAACTTTCCTTTGTACTTCACAATCCCAAATGAATTGAAGGCCATAATCGAAAGGAACAATAATTTCAGTATAGAAAGAATGGAGATATTGAACAACCCTGGTAAACAACGTTTACGCAGTGCCAAAGAGCGCGCCTCATATCTCAGGGCTGTCTTTGAGGGATTGCTGGTCAATCACTTAGGAAGTGGAATCATGGATGAATTGTTCGAGCGTTATGCTAACAAACTTGAAGAGTCGTCCCATTTCTTAGACCCTGACAACGAGAAATCAATCATAATATTTGTCCTGCTCAAGCGAACGGGTACCAAATGAGCTTGGTACTGTTGACATTAGCAACAGAAATCAGACGCCATTCATAAAAATTGTATTTAAGATTGCAAAATAAAGGACTCTATCCACGTAGAATATTAAGATTTCTGATAGGTACCAGACGGAATTGCGATCATAATTAATGGAACTTGAAATCCATCTTGAGAAATATGTTGCAAAATTTAATTAGCACCGTTTTAGTGATTTAACCACCACGATAATGGGAGTTTTAGAGCCTGTTTGTCGTGGCTTTTACTTTTGCTTCCTGCAAAAGAGCTTTTGGAGGAAGTTATCATAATTTTTGTTTGAAAACTAATTTTTACAAGAGCTTCATATTTCGAAAGTACTTTAAGAGGAAGCCACATTTGACTAACTTCCTCTAAAAGCTCTTATAAATACAAGAATTACTCATATGAAATTAGTCATACGAGTTTTAAAGCAGCTTTTGAATATCAAGAATTTCTTTTGACAAAATATACCAAACGGGCCCTTAGTAGTACTAAAACAAAACTTGCATATCAACTCTGGATGCACATTTGACCTATCATGGTAAAAAAGTGTAAATCCTGAACTTAATTAAATCACTGCCTACTAAACTTTACACATGGTTACTACTTGCTCACTGAAATATAAAAGGTTACTCAATACTCACTAAACTATTCATTAATTTACCCATCAATCACTGAAGCTAATTTCGTCTCTACAACTGGACAAAAGTGTCTACGTGGTGGATGATATGCCAAATGAAATATACACATCATTTAAAAATAGCCAAACAGGAATTAATTTTTGTAAATAGCCAAGAAGAGTTCACGTGAAAACGGTAATGACTTCTCCAATTTCACCCAAATTGAAAATCGAATCAGTCCATCGAAACTGAAATCGCCGTCGACTGTCGAAATTGATAATCGCTGTCCACCTAAATCGATCCTCCCAAAATTTCACTCCTCCTCAATTCCAATCCTTGGTAAGTTCTATCTTCATTGTTAAGCCCCAAATCGCAAACCCTAGATTTTTATTTCACTTCAAACATAGCCAAAAAGATACGAAACATTTAGCCACAAAACTTAAATAATATTCTTGTCTTCATTGTAAGAAACACGGGGGACCCAATCGGAAAAAATGTAGTGGAAGAATCGCTTTTGCAGATCATGGAGGAGGGACCACAAGGTAAGTTATCTACAATAGTTTTGATGAATTCTTCAATTTTATATTACATATGTCGGAGACATGCCTTGAGTTTGTCTAGCCGAGTTCATTAGTTCTCATGGAATACGTGACTGAATGTGAGATTCATGAAGTTTTTTTCCATTACAGTTCAAGAAGAGGAAGAGATACCTATTGAATGTGAGTTGATTGATTCCGATAATGAGGTTAACGATGATGATTTCCACTATGATAAGAATGCATCCAAGCATATTGAGAGTGGATTACATGTAGACCCTGCACTTGAACTTGATGTTGGAGGGGAAGAAGAGAAAGGTTCTGACGAGTTAGATTGCCCAAGTGAGGAGGAACTTCATACTGATTATTCTTCTAGTGAAGAAAATATTTATCACTTCCCTGTGTATTATACCGAAAAGGAGAAGTTCAACCCACAACTGGAGGTTGGAAAGGAATTTAAAAACATTGAGGAATCATACAAATAGGCTGTGAGGAATCATGGGATTGCTACTAGATGTAATTTGAGGTTTAGACTGAATGATGAATTTAGAGCACATGCTATATGTAAATTAGGGTGCAAGTAGAAAATATGAGCTTCTTGGAATAAAAAGAATGGTTGTGTACAAATAAATTCAGCAAATTTAGAGCATACAAGTGTAAGGGATAGAACAAATAGGCATTGCACTGCAAGGTATATAGTAGATAGGTATTTAGACACTTTCAAAGTTGACCCTGATTGGAAGTCTAAACTTATTATGAAGGCTGTAAAGGATGATTTGAAGTTGACAAATAATAAAGTTACAACTTGGAGGGCTAGAAGATATGCTAGGTTATTAATACAAGGATCTGATGAGCATCAGTTCGATATACAAAATTCAAGACCACCTATTGGTTTAGATTGTAGTTTGAGAGTTATGAAATACTTTTGTCATTAAGTATATTGACATTGTTTTGTTTCTTTTTGTGTAAAGTTGCAGGAAATGATCATTTTGTAATACTAATGATCAGACATGATCTTTTTGTAATAGACATAAATCTTTTTGCATGAAAATAGGTGATTATATTGGGAATATTAACTAAGACATCTGTTCACAGTTTCATCTTCCAACCTCTTACTGGTAGTTTCTTATTGCTTGAAATTTCAGCAATAGCTTATCTTACTAGTAGTCTCTTATCTTCTCCTCTGGTAATAACTTGTAATGTATTGCTATGTTTGGAAGGTTAAAAACAAGGAGAAACAGACTGATTCAATTAAAAATGAACAAGTGACGATGGCATGTAAATGATGAAGAATTACGTACAATGCCCGTTTAGTCATATCACTACTATATTAAAAGAGAGGATGTCCAAATCACTGATGAAAAAAAATACGGAGCATGAGCTCCGAAATGTTGCGGAGCACACTCTGCATTTTTTTATTCTTTTCTTTTTTTTTTTTACAATTTTTTTCTCTTCAATTTTTTTAGAGGATTTCGATAACCATATGAAAAGATGGATGAGTATTGAAGATAGTGTTCTTACTAGGGTTGGATTAGAATTGGGGATTTCACTGTAATTGAAATGGGGTGTGCATTTTGAAGGGATGAGAATAACACGCTTTCTTGAATTAGTAGCATTTTTATCCACGCCACGTAGACATTTTTAGAGGCAGAATTAGCTTCAGTGATTGATGAGTTAACTAATGAATAGTTCAGTGAGCATTGAGAAACCTTTTATATTTCAGTGAGCAAGTAGTAATCATGTGTAAAGTTTAGTAGGCAATGATTTAATTAATTCATGATCCAGCATTTGTGAACCAGCCTTAATTGGAGTTCCTCGATAAGAGAGGCAAGCCCATGACGATAACTAACAAGTAGCGCCAATCTCTTCAAACAAAGACCTAATTATGTAGCTACAACAAAACACACCTCCTCTTTCGCCTCGCTAGACCCGCGAGAGGGGATCCTACCATCGAGTCATGTAACCATCAAGAGAATGGCTCGACTTGGTCTCGTCTAGTAGGTGTGTCCATGCTACATCTTTACTTGAGGACTTATTTGCCATATCATGCTACTTGTCCCTCTTTTTTTGACAACCACTAGCAACCATTGTAATGTTGTGTTATTTATATCGTAAGTGTACGTTATTGTTAATAATTAATAAAGTTGACATAAGATTCTGAATTATTATTCTCAAGTGGACCATAAGAAATCTTCAACGTATCATCTTCTGGTCCGAATCAACTATTGAATTTGCAATTTGGTCATTATACTTTGGATTTTGCCATTTTTTTTTTTACCAATTTTCAATTCTTTATTTCCATTCCTTATTCAACCACTGAGTTTTACCTATATAACATAAAATACAATAATTTAGGATATATTTTGTCAAAAGAACTACCAAATATTGATAATTTAGGACCCCAAATAAGTGCATAAATTACACTAGTCAAATATCCACAAACTTAAACATAATTTTGTACTAAAACAATATTATTATTTTGTCAAAAGAACTACCAAATATTGCTATTTTAGACTCCAAATAAGTGTATAAAATACACTTATCAAGTAGCACCATTGTCCAACTTTGATTCCCTTGGATTTCCAACATTATTATATTTTGAAATAACAACACACAACTTCATATCGATATTCCATTAGATAACACATCTGATTCATTGGCATGTCCTTAGCTTGTTTATTATGTTTTAGACATTCATTTTAGCGATGTTCTAGGCCATTGAATTTCTATACATTCTTGTTATTACCCTACTTAGAAGAGTTTCTAGGATGTTTCCTTTTTCTGTTCTTTGAATTAGTTTCCACCACATTAGTCTTTGCTGGTAAAAGTTGTTCTCAAGTTCTCTTGTTAGACTTCATGTTGTCTTCTTCAATCCTCAATCTACCATCTTGTAATTTAAGAACTTTTCAACAATTAACTTCTTTGTATTGTTGTCTTCGGTCTTGTACTTTTTTTCCAAGGACTTCCATAATTTTGTAGTAGGTTATATGGCATTATACACATTGTATACCTTATTTTCCATCCCAATTAAATTTAGTTCTTACATAAAAATCATAATATTTTCATGCATCCAAAGCAATTAGCAATGTCTTGTTATTTTGCCTTCTTGCATATTAGGGGCGTCTTCATTTAAGAACTTAACAAACTTTAGGGTTGTGAGATAGAACAACATTTTTTGGTGTCAACTTTTGACATCATTACCACTGATTTTTTTTTTCTCCATTTGGAATAGAAGTTGGATGAACAATATTCGACTAGCAACCGGAAGAAAATGAGCATGGGAAAAACCGAAATAGAAAGATTAAATTGAAAACAAGTTTAGTTTAACCGCAATAAAAAAAAAATTAACTTATAAAAATATATGAAGATAAAAACTTTGTCTAAGAATGTTAGAAAATATCGTTTTTATATTCTTTTATATATTATGACAAAAAAACCCACTTGGGGCTTACTTTAAATCTGAAGGAAATAATATCGAAAATTAAATCAAGGAAAGAGTCAAACTCAGTTCATAATTTTTTCATTGTTCAATCAAACTATTTATTGAGTTTCAATTTCAATTATTTATTGTTGAGATTGGTTTAACAATTATTATATCTTTCATCAAATTTGGTCTCCTGCGCGTGGCGCGCAGGACTATCCTGCGCACAGGAGACGAAATTTGAAGTTTGGGTCTTTGTGTGTCAGCCTTTGGCTGACACACAAAGACAACTTTTAATTTTTTTTATTTATTTTTTTTAATCTTTTGTTTTTTATGTAGACAGCCCTTACTTTTAAAAGTAGT